AGCCATTAAACTTTTTCGTGATTCGCGGAACACAGAAGTCACATCGGGAGTGGGAAAGACCCTCTAAAATTGTCTGGCGGATCTGGGAAAATTGTGTCAATTCGTCGGGATTTCAAATTTCCCCCCCCACCTACCGCTACATATTTATTTTATTTTTTTATTTCTTTTTATTTTTTTTATTAATTTATGCCCAGATAAATAATACGTGTATGTATAATATTAGTATTTATGTAGCGTGTCTTAAAACTTACACTACTGAAATTTCCTGCGAAATCATGTCTACATAATCCTGGGAACTTGGCGAATTGATTCTATTTACTGGGAATCGGATATGCTCGGGTGTTTTTTTGCTCGGAAAGTAGAAGGTGTACCCAGCCCCTTCCCCCTCTAGTATGCGTTCTGCATACTTCCTTCTTGAACACACAATGCTCGTCCCCGTTCAATAACCATGCCATAACACAGCACAGTAGCAACCATGCCGTTCTTGAACACACGTGTCGGTTCAATAAGTATGCTATAAACAGCTATAAGCCACTAACTTTACCATTCTCTCATCGTTGTCCCCAGAACGTGTTACACGGGACACCGTAAACGCTGTGGGGTGACATCGCGACATTCTCTGTTGGAATAGATGACAAATCAGAATCCAAAATGTCCAAAGGCAAAAAGCGAACGCAACCTCGCCGATGTAAGGACGTTAGCTGTTACGTGTCAGTGAGCACAAGTCTACGGCAGTCTCCAAGCTCCAATGTACAATAAAAAAACACGCAGACGACGCAGTGTCACAGTTGATCGCCCACCTGCTGCGTGACAGTGTCCGCCACCTTGCTGCGGTGACAGCAACCCTGAACCACATCCTCTGCTAGGTATATATATAGGTCTACTATATAGGTATATTGTTGTTGTGCTCGGCGCATGTGTGTCGGATCTAGTCGCCTGTGTTGGGGGGGGTCGGCCGACGTGGCTGTGTGTGTGCAGTGCTACGTCGGAGGGTGTGTGTGAGGGTCCGTCGTGCGTGTGTATGCCCGTGTGTGTGGTGGTGTGGGGGTGCGTGTGGTCCACTACGCAATGTGTGTGGGTGGGCGTGTGTGCGTTGAGAGTGTGTTGTGGGCGAGCCAATGTGTGTGTCGTGTTGTGCTATGTGTGTGTGTGTTGTGTGTGTGTGTGTGCGTGCGTGCGTGCGTTGATACTACTACTATTACTACTACTGGCATATACTACCACCTTAACAGTCATGCGTGAATTAATATACTGCGAATAAATTGGTGTTAATAAGCTCGTAATAAACTGTCGTGTGTCGGTGGGGGTGTGTTTGTTTCAGGACGACGGGATGCGGGACGGCGAACACCTCTGGGACAAGCGCACGCAGGGACTCGTCCTGTCCTCGTTCTTCTGGGGCTACCTCTTCACACAGATCCCGGGCGGCCTGCTCGCGAAGAAGTACGGGCCGCGATGGACGTACGCGGGGTTTCAGTTCACTGCCTCCGTGTTGACGATGCTGTGTCCCTTGGCGACGCGGGTCGGCTGGCGGGGACTGCTCGCCATGAGGTTTCTCATCGGATTCTGCGCGGTACGTCAATTCTAAATTCAAATTCAAATTGAAAAATTCAGATGGGTTAGGAGAATCACTGTCGTTTTTTGGGGTGGGGTGGGGTGGGGGTGGGTGTTGGCATATATCGCTGGGAAAAATCGTGGATTTTGCGAAGTGTGCGCAAACTATTCAATGATTGAATGTTCAATAGACTCTAGCTGCTATTGTGGTGGGAGGGGGTCAATTTTCGGTATTATATGTAAACGTACGCGTACAGTAAACATGCATGTAAAGATTGAATTTCTTATCTTTTTACCTACGAATACTACACATTATTACCATTATTAATAATTGGGTATTAGTTATTAGGGTATTATTAGCTTTTGTTCGTATCCACAGGGCGTGGCGTTCCCGTGTTTTAATGGCTTGATGGGCGTGTGGGCGCCTCCGCAAGAAAGAAGCGCCCTGGTGTCTTACGGAATGTCGGGGGTGCACGCCGGCAAATTCATCGTCTTGCCTCTAGGCAGCCTACTGTGCAGCTTTGTGAGCTGGGATTCAATCTTCTACGTGTTCGGTAAGGTGACCGGTCTACTCGGGTGTACGTATGTTTAGATGGGACGCTGTGCAATGTATAATTGTCTTGTGTACTGAAACTTCGTTGTCCAATACATTCTATAACGTATTTTACTCTATTCTGTAATGTATCTTCTTGTTTTAATAAATTGTCGTAGACAGCATTGTGATTATTGGTTGTCGTGTACCGAAATTTAATCGTCAAAACACGATTATATCTGTCGTGATTTTTAGCTCACCTTGACATCGTCAAGATGAGCTATTGCCATGGGTCGTCGTCCGTCGTACGTACGTCCGTCCGTCCGTCAACATTTGGCTACGGTCAACGATAACTCAAGAACCGTTTGACCCACATATTTCAAATTGCATACAGTTTTTACTCCTATGGGAGAGGTTTGAACGCCTTATTTTGGAGCACGCCAGTCGACCTACTTTTGAGCGACGTCCACTTTTTGGCAAAAATGTAAATGGCCATAAGTCAGTTCAGGTTCAACGGATTTTGCTCAATTCTGGTATGTGAATGAATAAGGACTGGTCCCAAAACATCACACGGGTTTTTATTTTTATTTTTTAATTATGCAAATTAGGTAGATTTTCGACTATTGCATGTTCGTAGCTGCTACGGTCAACGCTCATCAATTGGGTATGCGCAACAGATCTGGAAACATTTATTTTCGCCATCAAAAATTACTCCAATATATCAGTCAGTTATGAAGAGATATATGAAATGGCGAGATATGCCTTATATAAATGGCGCAGTGTCTCCCATTATATACTCTTGCTTGATATGATCCCCTCCCTTTCTATCACACCCAACGGTACGGCTAGAGGGTATTGTCACGACTCAGGCTACAGTGTCATGAACGCTTTCAGTTAGGATCTCTCGACATGTAAGTTTTTTGGCCGTTTGTCGTGCACAGGGGGTGTGCCTACAGGCGGGGACCGCAGGTGGCGAGTCGCAACAGGCCATTGAGGAGGGCCATCGCATGGATGGTCGCACTGACTGATGATGCGGGGCATCGCAATGATGGTGCACTGAAACTCTTCATCTCTCCTAGTGTGATCCAACGTGAGTTTCGATCGCACTGATCTATATTCTATACTAACTTAGCTAGTAGTAGAGTGAGTCACATGAATTGCTATTCGGTCTATTCTTTTTATTAAGTTTTCTACATCATAACCACAATGCTAATATTCTATATAGCTGCTCAGTGTATGTGTAGACTCTCTAATGTGATCTGTTGCCTTTGTTTTTATCACAGGTTCGGCGCTGGATACGTCTCAGTGTTTTGATTGCCTGGTAGCCCTGATACTCGTTTGTACGATCTCATCTGGAGGCAGCACCACGTATTTGGGAGAACGAGAACGTGTGGGAGAGAACTACATAGCGGATTCGCTTGAAGGGGCGTACAAGTTCATTATAAGATAAAAGCCGGTGGGCATATCCAACTTTCTCATAGTACTCGTTACTGTTTGCGTTATGGTTTTTCCCCCGTTCGTCGCTCAACCATCCATCCATCCATCCATCTTATCCAGTCAATCATATTCAATCATCAATCCATCCATCTGTTGTCGTCTCCAGCAATCAATCAACCATCCAATCCATCCATTGACTCAGTCCGTCCGTCCGTCCATCATCAGTCTATATATCACGGAATACAATCTCTCATAACATTGCCGTTCGCATAGTCTCCATCGACAACATTGCGACTCATACTGAATACCTTGCCCCCCTACACCCGCCTTCTTGCTAGCACAAGGTGGGAGCCACCTACTCACGTTGATAGTGGGGGACTGTCTAGCAATGATTACTTAACACAGTAGATATCAATTAATTTATTATTTATTATATAAATTATTAAGATATCTTATATTAATATATATATACTCACTCTTTATGTGTACATTGTTCTTCTTGCAGTACAAGGAGTACGGGACCGGGAATGCTTGACCCGTCGCCACGCTTTCGTCCGTTTACTGCTCATCGATAACACCTGCTTCACGCTGCTCGCAGTGTGGTCTAGTCAGACACTGATGCACCAAATACCTACGACCGTACATGGTCGAATGTGGGCTCAAGTACGAACATAACCGTCGGTAGAGTTGACGCTGACCGGCGATCTAGAGCTGTGAGGGAATACTGTATATATATTATATGACCTATCAGTATTATACATCCTGAAATCTTACTATACATATAATTATAATACTACTATATACATATAGAAGTATCGTATAAAGTAGTATACTATAGCTATTACCAATAATTGCTGTAACGTAAGAACTTATATATATGTAGTTCTATATTGCTATTATCTATTATTATTGTCATTTACACTGTATAATATGTAACTAATTAATATCTGAAAATAGTGATCACTGATTGGCATGAAATGACTGTATATCGGATTATCCTCATCTCATGACTAGTCTGTCTGACGTATTCATACCTATACATTACAATAAAACCATTGTAATCAATACCATCCATATTATACTCAATGAATTGATACAACACTCTCAATACATATGGACATCCTATCAAATAAATATAAACAACTTTTGACATAATAATCATCAATAATAACTATGACATCATACGAATCTTAAATACACAATGACACTAATACACAATCATAAATAACACTTGGACAATCCATTT